TCTCCTCGGGGAACAGATGAGCATCCACTTCAAGTTGGGCCCGTTTTCCACCCAACGAACCTGCCCCCTCCCAGCTGGGTCCCGTCTCCCCAGCCTTGGGTGAGGTGGGGCCGCGCTGCCCGGTGCCTTGTTTCCAGAGGGACTCCCTGGAGCTCTCGTGGTAGGAGCTGACCTGGCACTTCCTCCCATATTTTGCAGAAACACCTGTGATTTCCTGCCTTAGTCTGTCCCTGTCACTCTTTTCTCTGGGAACATCTGCAGGCCCAGGAGCTGCCCACGACCCAAGAGCAACGGCAGTGCCAGAGGTGAGGCATGGTGGTTGGGCACGGGCCCGTCCCCAGGGCAGGTGCTGGGGTGGGGCCCAGGCCTCAGGAGCACTGTGTGCCCTCCTCCTGAGGAAGGTGACACGTCAGGCTTGCTCGACTTCAGAAAAGAGATAAATCAAATCCAAGGGGCACCTGGATGGCACTTACAGTTCAAACTGAAGCTTTTTGAACTTAGCCCCCTCCTTTGTTGAACCAGGGTCTATGCAGACAGCGCGTGTGATCATGTAGCCGGGACAGCCAGCATTGGTTGACGCTCCACGTGCACAGGGCTTCCGTGAAAGGCTGGATTCGCCCCAGTTTCCACCAGCCTGGTCCTGGAGGGCCCCAGGGCCTGGGAGGTGGTTGCTGGACAAGCTGCTGCCCGGCCGGAGCAGCCTGGCAGTTCAGGAAGCCTCACATCCCGTCCTCCCTTCCTGCCCCATAAACTCATCTGCCCCGGATTTGCTGCTCAGCTCTGCAGGGAGGGGGACCTGCCCGGGGGCTGCCAGAGGAGCAATCGGCCCCTCCCCCCGCACACCGTCCCCACATGGGGGAAGCAAACCAGAGAGCAGGGCCATGACCTGCTCGAGCCACAAGCTGCCTTCGTGGCTGCTCTGGACCCCGGCCTCGACCCCTCCACCCCAGCTCTTCCAGTGCTGACGTGGCGTCATTTCCATCAACAAAACAACACCCAAAAGCAGGTGAGGAAACTGGGATGTTGTGTTGTTTGTATCAACAGCTTGTACCTCTCGCCAAACTGCAGCTGATGTTGAAGACAATGTCCTCACCCCCACGTCCGTGATGCCCCCAACATTTCCACATGTCATCAGGAAAGATCGTTACTTTAAGAGAATTTCTTCTGTGAAATAACGTTCCAAACAGCCTTAAGACCCATGAGTGTGTAAGTGTATAAGACCCACAGGGCGCGTGTAAGTGTGTTCACAGGCAGCTGTGGATGTGCTTGTGTGTACATTGTTAGGTTTCCGAAAACAGAAAAATTGCCTTTACGATATTGTTTTTGGTGTTGCAAGATATCAGAAATTCATTGTTGTGGTTATTTTGCTTTGAGGGGTTATTTCACAAGTGATCCGTCTGAATTTAGTAATTCACATGGTGGGGTTCTCTTAGTGCGCAGCCGTGACACAGCACTCGCCCATCAGCGTTCGCGAGGAGGGGGCGGCTCCCTCCAAAGGCCACCGTGAGGCTGCCAGAGCGCCATGAAGAACCGGCTTCTCTCTGGCAAGGAAATGAGCTTCCCCTCCCACATAGCGTCCCATTGTCATGCTGACGCATCACAAGGACGCTGGAGCTGCAAGGCCACAGCACATTTCATAAAAGGGATTAACATGACTGTGAGTAACGGCAGCAGCCATAAACATGCAGGCCAAGACAAACACTGTGAGCATGACCAGGCTCTGCTCGGGCACAGCCGGTTACCAGATGGGCCCTGCCCCCCGTGGGCCTGGTCACCGTCCACCCACCGCCCGCGGGCGCTCCCAGTTCCTTGTGTCGCTCCTCCCCCAGCGAGGTCACCGTTTATCAGGACGAGGAAGCCCTGAGAAAGAGCACTTGCCAAGTGGGACCGTGCGTCAAGTTCCGTGGGCCCACGTTCCATGTTCTCTGAAGGAGAGAAAAAGCACACGGGGCGAAGGTCACGAAACACACGCTTGCTCACACCACCCAGCGCCTCCCAGGGGTTCTGGCGCTTCCTCCTAGAGAGTGTGTGGGGTTGACCCAGTTTTTCTCCAGGCTGCTGAGAAGACCAGCATCTTAGCCGGCCCGGGCCGCTGTGACAAAACACCCAGATGTCTATTCTCACAGTCCTGGGGCTGGAGGTTCAAGATCCAGGTGCCAGCAGGGTCGGGCTCTGGGGAGGGATCTTCCTGGCTTGCAGACGGTGCCCTCTTGCTGTGTCCTCACAGGGCAGAGAGAGGAAGCTCTCTGCTGTCTCTTCTTATGAGGACACTAATCCCATCTTAGGGTCTCCCCTTCATGACCTCATTGAACGCCAATCACCCCCGAAGTTCCCACCTCCTAATACCATCACACTGGGGTTCAGGACTTTGACACATGAACTTTGGGGGACACAATTCAGTCCCTAACACCATAAACCAGAGGAATCTCCTGGCAGGTTGCCATGGCCCGAGGGAATGTGTAGCCCACAGAGAGCCTCCGTCACGGGCAGACAGCGTCCCGGATCCACGGGGTGCTGCCCTCCTGTTTCTGTCCCTGCTCCTGAGTTATACCTGACTTTATATGCAGGGGAGGAGGGGTGTGGGATCTTTGTTTTTGATTAGAGTGGGACATAAAGCAGGTTGGCAGGAGCGGGTCTGTAAGGGTCGCTGGGTTGCTGCTATGCGCCCGCTGCGATGTGGGCATGGGTGGTGCGTTTCCTTGATTCTGAAGCTGTAGCTCTCTCACTCGAGTCCTGAAAACTCAGGCTCAGTTCCAATGCACATCTTAGGCGAAAACACAACAAGTTCCCTAGAAGGATGACAGGCTGCTGCTATGCGCCCGCTGCGATGTGGGCATGGGTGGTGCGTTTCCTTGATTCTGAAGCTGTCGCTCTCTCACTCGAGTCCTGAAAACTCAGGCTCAGTTCCAATGCACATCTTAGGCGAAAACACAACAAGTTCCCTAGAAGGATGACAGGCTTAATGAGCCCAGAGGACCACAAGGAAAACTCAGGTGTCCGCATTCCTCTGGGGACACTCACTCACTCACTCGACAACATTCACTGAGTATTTTAGAGCAATACCTTGTGCTGTGTGTGGATGTGCCTGGGAACATTATGTTCTGCTCAGGTTCCTGAGTATCTCTCCCACACCTCACGCGAAGTTGTTCTAGAATAAATTTCCAGGAGCTGATAAATGACAGCATAGGCAAGTTCCAGAAGTCGAGGGGATCCTCCCTGGGCTGTGGGTCAGAAATGTTCACTCTATGAACTTTCACCCCAAACAGTATTACTGTTACTCACAGTAAGAGTTACCTGCGGGGCTCACACCAGGGGCTGGCCTTCCCCTGGGCTCTTTTCTCCTGTGACAGGTGTGTGCTCGGCAGGCAGCAGTTCCGAGCGGAGCTCCTGCGGAGGAGAAGCAGGAGCTTGGCGCACACCGGGGAGCGCTGGGATGGAGGAATCCGGGCCTCAGCCCGCACCCTGCACAGAAGCACAGGAGCCGTCCTCGGGGAGACATCTTGGTGGGGCACGGCGTGCGTCCTCAGGGCGTGGGCGAGGTGGCTGTGCAGTGGTGGCCAGCGGGACACAAGAGCATTGTGCAGGGAAGGGGCCAGTGCCACGGATGTCACAGAGAGGCCAGACCACACCGTATCCAAACACAGGTCCCCCAAGGCAGTTTGGAGTAAAAAGAAAGCTGTCTCAAAAAGGAGGGGAAAATATTTTTAAATTAGAACAATGTCTTGTTTCAAAGGGCAGTACAGTTGGAGTAAAAATAAAAATAATATAAATGCATGATCTGAAAAAGGAGTAATGTATTTTTTCACTTTTTCTTTTCTTTGGAGGGGCCTCTAACGAGCCCTGTTCAGAACAAGTGGACCTTCAGCTGTGGCTCTGGGTGTGGGTCTCCAAGACTGTCGTCCTCTCCAAGTCACCGGGCTTCCTAGAGAGCAGCCAACTCCGTGTTTGGGTGTGAGTCGGAAAAAGCATGATGTTCCAGAGAGGGAGAGGTTTGGAGAAGCCTGGGGTGGAGCCAAAAGGAGCGTGAGAGCCACGGAAAGTCGTTCTGTGCAGCGCCGTGTGTGTGACGGCGAGCAGTGAGCTGGGGACAGACAGGAACGCTGCACACTGGTCAACCCACACGGGCGTGCAGGTCCACACCGGCCGATAACTCCATCCGCACCAGACTGGCTCAGAAGACCACAAACCCTGTCTGGTCAAAACGGGTAGTAATAGTTTCTGAAGAGATGAGGCTAAAAAGACAGCTGGACTTGGGGGATCCCGGGAAACTCAAGACATCCAGGCTGCAGGAAGTGCGTGGCCATGGAGGGCATTCATAAAGGGACCAGCGGTGCCAACTCTGCACTCGTCATTCTGCCAGGAACACCGTGGCCCCTCCTGGTTTCAGATCTCTGACCTTAATCTTCAGTAATCCTCAAGTCCTGTCCTCTGACCAGCAACCCTGAACACACGACTTCAGCGGATCTGAGAGGCCACTGCACTGCTTCTGGCTGGGTGAGCACATCCCTCAGCAGGGTCGGAGGGTCCCGGGAGGACGGTGACACGTGGCCAAGTGACGTAGAACGTTCATGCATTCATAAGCGGCCAGCTGTACCTGTGGCATTATACTCTGTAATAGTCATGAGAGTTTGACATTTTGATTTTAAAAGGCATTTGGAGTATTGATGAGCATCTGAAGTATTAAACTTGTGATTTCATCAAAATGGTTAAGAGTCAGCTAATTAAACTTTTAATCACTGTTTAAATATTGAAGGTGGCGATTCCCAACCAGATGAGATTTTTGTCTTCAGGGAACACTTCAAGATGCCTGGATATACTTTTTATTGTCATAACTGGGAGGTGCTCCTGGCATCTGGTGGGTAGAGTCCAGGGTGCCACTGAACACCCCACAGTGCACAGGACAGCCCACAGCACAGAATGATCCACTCAAAACGTCAGTCGTGCTGAGGCTGAGAAACTCTGATTTAAGGGAATCAGTTTGATTAAATCAAGCAGTTGTTTGTAAATATCACTTAATTGCTTGGGAAGATTTCATTGGTTACATTTACAAATTTTCCTTATTAGGTATGTGAAGTATCCCCCAAAATCAGATATATTAAATTTATGATGATGGTTTGAAATGCAACTTCTGAAGAAATTTTGTCAGGATATAAAATATTTATTTAAATTTAATCTGCAAAATTTATAAACTCAGTATTAAAGAACCACAGGAAATAAGTGCTGTAGGTCTTAATATAAAAATTGTTGTATTCATAAATAAAATAAAACGTGTAAGTTACACCTACAGGCATATGAAAAATTCTGTTTTAACATTTGCTCTGTTGATGAATGTCAGCTAGAATAAAGAAAAGCCTCCATGGGAGAGCAGGCAAGGCCACAGCTGGGCACAGGCTGGGGAGAGGACGCTTCTCGAGTCGGGTTTTGCAGCTCTGACTCCGTAAGGGGAGCGCGGCAAGGGCCTGCCTCCCCGGGTTCTTGCAAGAGCTAAATAAGGTAACTGCCAATGTTTGCTGGACAAACAGCAGGTGCCCAGTACATGTTACTGGTTGTGATACCTAGAGTCACGGTGGTGATGCACAGGGGGGCAGCCACTGAGAGCCGGGAGGAGCGTGGGGACAGTGGCACCCAGGGGCATTGGGGACGGCCAACACCGACAGCCCCTCTGGGTTCCCCAGGATGTTCTCAGAGGACTAACCAGGGGCTGGAGCAGTGATGTTTGGATTCTCACCAATCCCGTTACCCCTGACCTTGCTTCAGCCCTGCAGGGTGGGCGCCAACGTCACAGGTGAGGGTGGTGTGCCCACCAACCTTGTCCACCCTCACCCAGCAGGCTGAGAGTGGGAAGCTCACCAAGGAGGTGTGTTACACTCCATGCCTGCATTCCTTCCCTGTGCCAGGCCATGGAGGATGGGGGTCAAAGGTCAGCCACTTTGGCTCTCTTGGGATCTTCCAGGAGCTTTTGGACAAATGATGTGTGGCCACTAGAGGATTTAATAATTTGCAAGACACTTGACCCCATGCTCAGTCATCACGTTGAGGTTCCCGCAGATCTCCAGTCCTCCGGGTGGTCTCACCCGTGAAGCCTTCGACTTTCAACAACAGACCCTGACGGGTGTAGATAATCAAGTCTTACTACTTTGGGAGATGATAGATGTGAAAAACAACTTGCTGGATGCAGCTTAACTCCAGTGCCGAAGCGAGGACGGGGAACTTCACATTTGCAGAATCAAAACCCTCAAGAGAAAGATAAAATGGAAAGGTCCACAAAGTATTATTTGAAAAGAGAGAATAACAAAATTGTTGTTGCTGGTCAGATACCGAGATGCAGTAGCCCTAGAATTTCACAAAAGCTAGAACCAGAGGCCAGCATAGAGAACCAGCGCCCAGCTCAGAGTCCAAGGGAGTCCCCACCCATTACGTGATAAACTCATAATAAACGTTTATTACATGTCTAATATATGTGCTTTATATTCACTATATTTGACAATATACTGAAGGAATATTAATAAAGGGTACTGATTTAGGAGCAACTAGGACATAAAACAATGTTTCCCAATCAGCATTACCCTGAAAAAGGCAAACCCTTCATGGTCCTCACTATAAATGCCAGCTGGGAAGAAGTGACCAGGGAAAGAGAAGAGAAAGGGTGTCCCCACGCTCACTGTTAACAGGAGGGCAGGACCAGGCTCTTCAGCCTGCAGTGGAGGTGTCTTCTCAAGTCACGATGTCCTCATCAACCATAATTTCTCACCAGTTCAGTCTACACTCCAACCACGCCCATCCTGCCAACTGCACAACCACTGCTTCAGTGAAACACCAGCAAAACAGACTTCCGCCTCAGTATTCCAAAGAATTGATACACACTTTTAATTCCTTAGGTTTCTTTCTTTCTCAGCTACATTATCAAGGGTTGACCACACCATTTTCACTGCAGACTACACCACCCTCACTGTCGACCTCCAAGCCCCATTGTTCACTTTTGAATTGATACACACTTTTAATTCCTTGGGTTTCTTTCTTTCTCAGCTACATTATCAAGGGTTGACCACACCATTTTCACTGCAGACTACACCACCCTCACTGTCGACCTCCAAGCCCCATTGTTCACTTTTCTATTCTAGCTGTTGACCTCCCCATCCTCACCGTTGACCTCTCCATACTCTCTGTTGACCTCCCCAACCTCACTGATGACCTCCCCATCCTCACCGTTGACCTCCCCATCCTCTCTGTTGACCTCCCCATCCTCACCGTTGACCTCTCCATACTCTCTGTTGACCTGCCCAACCTCACTGATGACCTCCCCATCCTCACCATTGACCTCCCCATGCTCACCGTTGACCTCCCCATCCTCTCTGTTGACCTCCCCATCCTCACCGTTGACCTCCCCATCCTCTCTGTTGACCTCCCCATCCTCTCTGTTGACATCCCCATGCTCACCATTGACCTCCCCATCCTCTCTGTTGACATCCCCATGCTCACCATTGACCTCTCCATCCTCACTGTTGACCTCTCCATCCTCACCGTTGACCTCCCCATGCTCACCGATGACCTCCCCATGCTCACCGTTGACCTCCCCATCCTCTCTGTTGACATCCCCATGCTCACCATTGACCTCTCCATCCTCACCGTTGACCTCTCCATCCTCACCGTTGACCTCCCCATGCTCACTGATGACCTCCCCATGCTCACCGTTGACCTCTCCATCCTCACCGTTGACCTCTCCATCCTCACCATTGACCTCCCCATCCTCACCGTTGACCTCTCCATCCTCACCATTGACCTCCCCATCCTCACCGTTGACCTCTCCATCCTCACCATTGACCTCCCCATCCTCACCGTTGACCTCTCCATCCTCACCATTGACCTCCCCATCCTCACCGTTGACCTCTCCATCCTCACCGTTGACCTCCCCATCCTCACCGTTGACCTCTCCATCCTCACCATTGACCTCCCCATCCTCACCGTTGACCTCTCCATCCTCACCATTGACCTCCCCATCCTCACCGTTGACCTC